CCATTCATTCATGTATTGTTGATGGAGGCTTTCAACAGCAGGGCCGAGGAGCTGCGTGGAGAACGGCAGGTCTGCAAGGCCCACGCTATATATTATTTGGCCCTTTACAGAATGAGTGTGTCGGCCCTGCGCTTGGATGTGTTGATAGGAGGGAGTGCCTGATTGTATTCAATCATCTTTCTGTCATGGTGCCTAGCATGGTGTCTGGCAAACAGTAAGTGATCAATAGATATTTGTGGAATGAGGGGATGAATTACTGGATCTACTTAACCACATACTTTTTAGTCCAGCTGTGAGGAAAAATAAGGTTGAATAATGAGATTAAATATTTCTGTGGAAAACAGCTGTATGGCCAGTCCCCAGAAGGCCCAGGTGGAGGGCAGGGGGCAGGAGGTCTGGAGGCTGAACGGAACTTTACAGGAGAGAACCTGCTTGGAATGCCTCGGTGAGCTGGCAGACTCTCCACAGAAAGGAAGCAATCTGTGTTTGCCTGGAGGCCGATGCCTCTACTTGAGTCTATAAAAACAAGCTTCTCTAAATAATTAAACTAGAATATCATTTTTTTAGTCACAAAATGACTCCTACCTATTCATGTGATCACAGGCAAAGTCACATCATCTCTCCATGCCTCAACTTGAAAATGAGGACAACACTTGGAGAATTGAAGTAGTTTATATTTATATAGAATTCGTGGGTTTTAAATGTCTTCATGAGAAAAAGACAGTAAAAACTTTTATTACAATAGTGTTGGAGGTAGGTCAGGCCATGCATGTCTTTCGCTGGGCTCCCCTTCCCACCCAGCACTCCAATGTGCCCGCCAGTTCCCCCCAGCCATCCCGCAGAACCGGACCACCAGGCCGCAGGCTGCACTGTCCCGTCGCTGCTTCCTTTCCCACACCCAGCCTGTTACTAGATGTCCTCTGACATCCTGTTCCCCTGAGCACCCATTCTGCACTAGGTGTCAATGAGCGATGATAGGTGAACAATTATTACAAATTAGATGCTGACCTCATTATCTTTCTTAGACAATAGACATCAAAGAAGAACTTCTGTAGAAGACAGCTCTCAAATTTCTGTACAGGGGACTCGAGGGTCAGTCTGGGTCTACCGGACTTAGCTCGAGCTACCTTTCAACAGCGAGTGTACAGTTTTTAAATTTGGGTTGGCCTGGAAAGATGAAGGAAGGGAAGGGAGAGCACTAAAGTCTCCTTAAGTTGTCTCTCATCACTGCCACTGGCCTGTGCATACCACAGCGGTGATGGCAGGACGTTCAGGCAGTGTGGCAAGCTGGTGGGGACCAACTGTTAGCGGTTATAAAAGCTTCTCTTGGGTTGAAATCCTGCCTCTGTGTCTTAACTGTGCAATCATTTTACTTTATGCCTTAATTTCCTTGACTGTAAAACAGATATAATATCTCTTTCATGGTATTGTTATAGGGAGCATGTAAGTTAATATGTATTAAGTGCTTAGAGTGGTATCTAGCATATAGGAAATGCTCAGCAAATGGTAGCTTTTATTGTTTTCATTAATCATTCAAAAGTATTTCTCAAGTGTCTACCAAGTGCAGGCATTAAACTATGCCCCGGGAAGGAGCAGACTCAAAGCTACACTAAACGAGGCCAGCTGGATCCCTGAGCACACCTCAAATCACACCCCGCTGACACTGCCTCACGCTCAGCCTCAGGCCCACATCCAGGATATAGCAACCTCAGGGCAAAGGCTCATCCACATCCCCTTCTACTTGGTGTGTGAGCGGGGCCAGGGACTGCTGTGAATTCCCCTTTTCACCTCCATGAATCCCTTTAGAGTTTGTTGCAGAACTGAGGGAACTCCTGGGAAGCATTCTCTAAGCCACAGGTGGCAAACACAAGGCCCGCGGGCCATATCCAGCCTTCCACCACGTTTTATCCAGTCAAGCACCTGTTTCTACTCAGCAGCAGCACCGAGCTCCTTGCCCCTAGTTAAGGAGTAGTTACATTTATACAGTCCTAAAATTACAGTCAGCTCTTTGAAGGCAACTGCGAGGCTGATGTGGCCCCCAGAGAAAGTGAGTTTAACACCCTGCTCTAAGCCATTATATCAAATCTGTAATCTTTTACCAGTACAAACCTTCACTGGGCTCCCAGAGAATATGAAGGAACCTGGAATATCTGTATTGGTCAACTAATTCTCCCATGACCACTCTCTGGCAAGAAACAACATTTTCCTTTGCTGAGCCTTGGCAGAGCAGTGCACACGGTTCCAGCACAGAGCTGTGCTCTTCGTGTTGAACTACAGCCGCAGCACTCTTACGGCCCGGTCTGCTCTGTCTTGGGAGCAGGGACTTTATCTCCATCACCTCGGAATCCTCAGTGTGGGCCAGTGTCTGGTGCTCTGTAGTGTTGACTGAATTCATGGAGAAGTGTTTAAGCCTTAGATCTCAGGGAAGCATCTTCTATCTAAAAAGGATTCTCATATGACCAAATGAAGCATTCAGCTAACAAACAAACAAAATACTCGAAGTTACACTTGTCCCCTGCAAAACCACTGATCTGGCTTTATGAGTAGCCAAAGGGAAAGCAGGGTGTGCTCATGAGCAATCAGGATGGTTCACAAATGTTGTGTGTAAGCCTTGCTCCCTTTAAAAAAAATAAAATATACAGATACACTGCAGACTTTCACCGTCCAATTTGGGAGTCACTAGACTCATACTGTTTAAATGCAAAATGACTAGATCAAATACAATTCAAAGCTCAGTTGCTACCTGGAAAAACTAAAAATAGACCTACTACATGACCCAGCAATTCCATTCTGGGTATCTATCTGAAAAAAAAAATGAAAACAATAATTCATAAAGAAATCTGCACCCCTATGTTCACTGTAGCATTATTCACAACAGATAAGACATAAAAGCAACATAGCCATCACCAATAGACAAACGAATAAAGATGCGGTGCATGTTTGTGTATATATGTATATAATATATATACACACAACGGAATACTAGCCATAAAAAGAATGGAATCTTGTCATCTGCAACAACATGATGGACCTAGAGTGTTGTTATGATGTCAAGTGAAACAAGTAAGACAGAGAAGGACAAGTATCATATGGTTTCACTTATATGTGGAATCTAAAGAACGAAAGAAACTGAACAAAATGAAAGAGAAATACTCATAGATACAGAGAACAAAGCGATGGTTGCCAGATGGAAGGGGGTGGGGGACAGGTGAGCAAGGTGAAGGGGAAAAAGAGGCACAAACTTCCAGCTATAAAATCCGGAAGTGATGGGGCTGTAAGGTACAACACAGGGAATACAGTCAGTAGCGTAATAATTGTGGAGTGATGGATGATTACTGCATTTATCAGGGTGATCACTCTGTAAGGTAAAATGCTGAATACCCTGTTGTGCACTTGAAAGTCACACAATTTGTATGTCAACTATACTTTAGTAAAAAAAATAATAAACAATGGTACAGCTATACCAGGAATATTATTCAGTAATAAAGAAGGAATGAATATGTGCAATAACCTGGATACCTCTCTAGAGAATTTTGCTGAGTGAAAACCAGCCAATTCCAGAAGGTTGCATAATGTACAATTTCTATAGCATGCTTGAAATGACAAGCTTACAAGAATGAAGAAGAGATGAATGGTTTCTAAGGATTAAGGGAATGGATGTGGTTATAAAAGAACAGCATCAGGGATTCTTGTGGGAATGGGAATGTACTCTACCTTGACTGTTATCAGTGTTAGTACCCCAATTATTAACTACATATTTTTTGCTATATACTATAGTTTCACAAGGTGTTTCCATCGGGAGGAAGTGTGTAATGCATATACATTGTCTCTGTATTATTTTTACAGCCACACGTAACTCTGCGGTTATCTTGAAAGAAAAAGCTTAATTAAAAATAAACCCCAGAACTCAGTTCCTCACTTGCACCAGCCACAGTCTGAGTGCTCAACCTGGTGAGTGGCTACTGTATCGGACAGCGTGGACACAGGCTGCCCGCCACAGGACAGCATGGACGCGGGCTGCTCGCCACAGCATCGCCGTGCTGTGCTGCCACGGAATCTCCACAGCCCTACTAGAAAGTGTTACTCAGGCGAATAAAATTTAATTGCACTTCCACTATCAATAAAGCTCATATATTGCTCCCTTAGACTGTCCAAACCTTTCAAGTTTGTTCTTTTGTAAGAAGACATGATGAGCTAGATGCTTTCTGTGTCCATTTCCACATTTTTTGCTTTAATTTACATATATTTAGAAATAGTATTAATTCTGTTAGTGCCTTGTGAGCACTTGGTGCAGACTGTGTGACTTAGAGCAATTTACTGCCGGGGATGGATGGCTTCAGCCCTGGGAGCAGGAGGCTCATCAATCTACCACGTGTCTCAGCATCGTTACGGAACATTAATGAGGTTGGGCTCAATTTAAAAACCGTCCAAGGCATTATGGATTGGGAACATTCAGTTCCGTAGGAACTGGGAATTTCTGAGGTATAATCCTAGCTCTTTTGCTAATGAGTGTTGTGATGTGGGGACTATCATTTAACTTCTGAGTTCCAGTTTCCTGTCCTTAAAATGGGGCTATTACTGACCTACCTAACCCAAGTGTCTGGAGGATTAACGAGTTAATGTGTGCGGAGAACTCTGAGCTCCTTGCAGTAGGGCGTGCTGCACATCATTATTTCTATTTATTCCCATGTAGCAGCTGTGTAACATTAGCGCTGTTACGTTTACTCCTACAATGCATTTTCTTTCTCAGCATTTTAACATTACCCATGTTACCCAAACCTTAAGTCTACAGGTAAAACTAGCCCTAAAGCAGGACACATTGACATAGTGGGGGTATTTAGGTAGTTTTTCCTTCCTTTAATAGGAACATGACACCAGCTTTTCCATCAGGATGAAGGCAGTAATTGCACTATAAATTCTTGCCATGTGAGGCTGGCGGTCAATCTTAGCAGATGCGAAATAAAGTTATACCACAGCACAATTACACTGTCAATACTTACACGCAATGATATTCCCATATCTGTTCTTCATTCTGTTCTCATCTTTCTTAGCAGAGTCCCATGGTGCAGACTGCCCTTCAAAGAAGCTCTGGGGGAAGGAGAAAAGTGACAGGAAGAATTACAATTTGGTGCAGTAAACACATATCTTAACAATGGAGGGAGGTCTTAAAAAATGTACAGGGGTTATGAAGGAAAAAGAATGTTCACAAAATGATACTGATTGACTATTCAAGTATTTTGTATTTTAAATATTTCATTCAGCTTTTTGTTTTCTTTTAGGTAAATGCTGCAAACACACACAGGGCTGAAGAGTGAGCCCACAATTTATTGGCACAGTCTGTTAATATGGTCCATTAAAAATGGTGTGTGGCTCACTCCCATCCTACTTTCGTATTTAACACAGAAGATGGAATATTTTTTCAATTTATGAATTATATTACCATTTTTTCAATATTCTCCTAAGAGATATAAAAATATCATTTTTCTTCCCAATTGCTAAATGAAAGAAGGTTATTTTTGGTTAAAACTGTGAAAGTAGGTAAGCTAAGACTTTATAACTTCAAGGCTAAAATATTTTAATAAATTCTGCTAGAGTTTTCTCTTCATTTTTAATGGAGCTTAGATGTCCATTTATTTAGGGATTTGGCATTATTATACCCTGGGCCTTTAATCTTCATGTTATTAGACAGATATATATTTTTTTCTGTTGAAGTTATAATGAAAATGTCCCTCTTCTGGGACTTTTATTTCCATTTTAGTCCACAACCCATTTTTCCTTCCTGTGCCCAGCTACATAAGAAGGTAATGAGAAGAAGGATGGTACAAGAAACATTTATTATGAAACTGATTTCTTGCCTTTGCCACAGCTACTCTTATACTTCTTGGCACCAACTAGGAAAGGAGAGAAGAGGAGGAAGGAGATGTGCAGACCCAGCAGATAAATGAGCACCGTCCAAAATGCTTAAAGGGCCAGGAACCCACATCCTCAAACAGCCCCAGATGGCTTTCCAAACACTCGCTTTAGAAATGGAACTTTTTTTGGACGGTGCTCATTTATCTGCTGGGTCTGCACCCTCCCTAATCTCCATTCTGCCTGTGGTGTTTGGCCATTGAGATCATTTCCATCAATTACCAAAAATCGGTGATTACTCTCTGGTTATTATTCCCTTTTTAAGGGCCCAGGTATGCCTTGTTAGTTCCACTGCTCTCCGGCGCTGCTGCAGTAGGGAGGGCTCTCCTGCTCACAGACCTCACGGGGAGCCCCGCCCCGCCCACACGTCGTGCAGATCTGGCCACACAGGTCCTGCTGTCTCTGCACACGACTGCGGCCTCCCTGAGCACAGCGACTGCGTGTCGTTTTGTTCGCACAGAGACCACGCTTCACAGCAGGAATTGGTCATTAGTTATTAAATGAGTGATCAGTTTTGGAGTTTGGTGACAGTTTGTGTGGCTTTGATCTCAAAAAAAAAAAAACCTTCCTTCTGTGGCTTCATGTGAGAGGGGTTTGAGTACTTGGAAAACCCGCATATGCACAGTTGGCAGATTTCGTTCCACCACAGTTTGTAACGTCCACACCTTTTTCATGACCGGCTGTGTGACACCGTGGTCACCATGCAGCTCAGCCCTCAGCAGAGTCCGGCTGGAAGGGAGCAGTGCCACTGGAACCAGCGCTTCCACACCGCAGAGCGGCAGGAGGACACGCCGTCTCATAACAACACTGGAGTGAAAAAGCTCATACCGCTCTCAGCTCAACATGCAGTTAGATTTTAAACTGGACACCTTAAAGTAAGGCACCTGAGTTGTAATCACCATCACCACCTTCTCAGAATAATGGTTTTTACATCATATTGTATCATTTAGAAAAAAAGCATGCGGGCCGACCAGGATCCCAGATCCTACACATGCACGGCTACATTAATAGGTCCATGCCACACACTGCTAATTGAAGGGTAAAACACTACGCAGGACAAATACAAGTTAAAACATTTTCACGTTATTAATACATTAAGTAAATAGAAATACTAGCATTAAAACACTAGTTAATTCCATCTAGAACAAGACCATTATATCATCAGGGGATTTATTGAAACATGTAACTTTGATTCTGCTATACAATGTGCATTTAAAAATAGCTTCAGGGATTTTAAAATTATACTTTTTTCCTGAATAGTGTCTTTGTTATTCTGTGAATGACTATTTTATAGTTGAGTAATAACTATTATTTGACTTTTCTTATAACAATTTAATTCTACTTTGAGTTTGTCATGATGTAATTACCAATTTCATTTCCCTCAGTCTTCTCTATCCATATAAAATTTTTCAAATTTGTTTTTTTGGTAGAAAGATGAAGAAGGTCAGTGACTTTGAGGGGGATCTTGGTATCTTCAGCAGGTCCATGGCCACTAGCCAACAGTCCCACAGCATATGTGTGTAGTGGGGGGAGGGGTCAGTGCTGAATTAGGGAACAGTCACTCATTCAACGAGTGAAAGAAAATGCTCTTAAGTCACCTGAGGCAAAGCCACATGAGTCCCTGCCCACACTCGACACACTGATGCTCTCCTGTGGAGGACAGTGCCCACATCGCAGCTGTGTTTCTTTAGCATTTGTGGTAACGACAGGACTTTAATTAGCCCTGCTTTTTACCAAGTTATTTTAATCTGATTGCTTTCATTTAATTGATGACCAGGAAACAGACACAGATCAACAATGACATGAAAACAAAACTCCTTACATCTGGGCACTCCATGTAGTTCCTGGCATGCTTTCATGAGGGTGGGGCCCAAGTGCTACCTCCCAGTACTAATTATGCACCAGTAAGTGCCAGCAGAATGAACCAGTCCATCGAGCAGTCAGGTACAGAGATGCAGACAGACCACGACCAGTAGTAGCTCAAAACCAGGCTGACCTGGGTCAGACCTCAACATTTCCGGACTCTTAGTCCACTGCTCTTTTGGAACCACCTCACCTGACAAGGACTTTGAAAGGAGACCAGTGTTAAACCTTCTTAAATACATGTGGCTAACAATTGCTTTCTACATATTGATCACATATCTCTCGTTTCTATTCTTTTTTTAATTTTTAAAGAATATTTTGTTTATTTACTTTTAGAGAGAGAGGTAGGGTGGGAAAAAGAAAGGGAGAGAAACGTTGAAGTGAGAAATACATCAATCAGTTGCCCCTTGCACACCCCAGGGCCTCAACCCAGGCCTGTGCCCCGACTGGGGATGGAACTGGTGACCTGTCGGGTTTGCCGGCTGGCAGTCAGTCCACTGAGCCACGTCAGCAAGGGCTTCTCCTTGTTTCTAAACGAAGCTTTACAACAGAAGAATGTAAAAGATATCAAGTAAACTTTGCTTAGCTGTTGCTTACTTTTACAAAATAGGACAATTTCTTATCTCCTAACATAACATGATCCTTGAGGGAAGCAATGGCAGCAGGAGGGCCCGCAGAAGAGGAAGTTGTTGCCGTGCACCTCCCAGCTTCCCACGCAGGTGTCATGTGAGTCACCTTAAGTGGAAAGATGTATTTTTTTTTTAAATGAAAGCAAAACAAACCAACAGAAAGAGCTGCTCCAAGAAAAAGATCAGATGACTAGTGCCCTCGTAGTCTCCTGACCCCCTGTGGACACGGTGGCCGGGACTTTCACTCTCTGGAACAGTTCTGCTTCCAATTACACAGCCAATCTCCCCAGAAACACATTTGCATGATCAAGACCATGTGTCTTTATTCCTGGCTTGGAAAATAAGTAGTATGCCTTGGGGGAGCCCAGAAAGAAAAAATATGAGCTTCTAGATCGAGCAATTTGGCCTTGTTTCCTTTTGATATGGAGATTTAAAATTTTTAAAGATGGATCCAGTTTTAAGTGTTATTGATTTCTGTTAGCATATTGTGAAAATATCTAGCAAAACATTTACCTTAGACTTTAGATTCCTTCTTGTGCCTGAAATAGTACAAAAGTTAATGGTGTATATTTCTAGTTAGAAAACAAAACTTTATCTGCAGCTCTAGGACCACTAGGCACGCGGAGAAGCTGTGACATGACATGTGGGTCTTTCGCGTTATGAGCCCCTGGTTGCTTTCCTGGCTTGGGAATTCTAAGCAAGAATAACAATCAGGGCAGGGACACAGGTCCTCAGTGCTATGGAACACCGCTTCCTGTCTGGTCCCCCGTGAGGCCTGGGCAGCTGTGCCACACCACAGTGGCAGGGGTACGTCCACTCTGTCCTCCTGGGAGCCGAAGAAACTGAGCCTTCTCTAACTACCCTGTGACCCGCCTCCTTTGTTTTTTTGGGGCAGACCATAAGATAAACAGATAGTCACTAATAAACCTACAAGCAAAATACGCCTGAAAGAAAATTAGGTAATTTTGCTAGGCAATCATCCTACTATGTCTTATTTCACATCCTGTTTAGCTTTTAAATATCTTTTAATAAATTAAACAAATAAACACACATTTAAACAATGTTATCCTGTGCATCTTTTCTTTGGAAAAGAATAAAAGGTTCTTTAGCTATTATTTTTTTCCCTTTTTAAAAATGGAATGTATTGCTTAATAAAATTATATAGGTTTGAGGTGTACAGTTCTATAACACTTCATCTGTATATTGTATTGTGTATCCACCACCCAAGTCATGTCTCCTTCTGTCACCATTCACCCCCTTTACCACCTCCCCCCTCCCCCCACTGCTCCCCTTTCCCTCTGCTAATGACTTTGCTGCTATCTATGATTTTTTTGTTTAATTCCTTTACATTTTTCACCCAGTCCCCCGCCCTCTTCCTTCTGACAGCTATGAGGCTATTTCTACTCTGATAGTTTATTTGTACATTAAATTCCACATGGAGGTGAGATCATAAGGTTTTGTTTTTCTCTAATTGGCTTATTTCACTTAACATAATACTCTCAGGTCCATCCATGCTATTGCAAAGAGCAAGAGTTCTTTCTTTTTATGGCTGAATAGCATTCCACTGTGTGAATGCACCACAGGTTTTTAATCTATTCATCTACTGATGGTCGCTGGGGCTGTTTAGCTATTTTATCTTCAAGAAAACCTAAAGTTGTGTGTGTTCCTTTAAAACTATGTGCATTG